TTTTATTATTGATGACGTGTAATATATTCGTAGTTTCATTATTACGCTTTGAATTTAAAATATACAACTACTAATATTATAATAATTAAATAATTACATTGATAGGTTTTTGAAAAGTTTTGTTAACTATATTCCAACAGCTATTAATTAACTGTAATTTAAAAATAAACTGTAAATTGGTAAAAAATGTATATAAAATAATATCTATTTATAGCAGTTATTTATGTGTGCAACGAAAAAAAAAAGATAACGATTATTTTTATTAAACCCCCCCAGAGCAAGATTTAATGTACGCCACGGCTTTAAACCAATCGATTCATTTCGAATAAATACTTTATAATAAGTAGACGCAGCAGACACTATCAAGTATATAGGTACTTAGTAAATGTTTTCGTTTTCAACGTAAAAACACGACGTCTGTTTATCTAGGCGCCAAAAGTACCTAAGCACGTATAACTCAACACCAATGTTAATATCGGTTAATTATAATAATTCATATATTGTATATTATAATAAATTAATGAACGTCACTCAAACCTTATCTCATAATTGACACTGAAAATTAAATTCGTCTAATTAATTTAATCGAGTGATATCTAACGAGTTAAATTTATTTAAACTTCTCGGGCGCAACCGTGCTTGAACATTTTGAAAAAATCGTGATTTCTTGTTCCCCACGTTTTTCTAATATATTTATATTGTGCTTGGTACTTTTTCTGAAAATTTAATATTCTTTTTCAAATGATCTGGTAAGCCGCATTAATTATAAATGTATGTACCGATTTAAAACATATTTAATATGATCATAATTACTATATATTTTTATTTAACAGTGTCGAAAATTTATATTATGTAAAATAATTACAATACGACAATTTTATACTATAGACTTATAATATTCTTAAAATTTTGTATTTAATCCTTTTCGATGATCCATTAAAAATCAAAAATCTATAAAATAAAGTTTTTAATTAGCTTTAAAATCATAATTATTAAGTTTTTTTATTTAGGTAATTAATCTTATTTATCTACTGTGTATGTATATATATATATGTATACATATGATGGTCTACAATTAAAGAAATATTATATGTAAGAAATAATTTTCAATTGTTCAAAATGGCATTGATTAGTTAACACAATGTTAAAAATGTTAAAAAAATAAGAGTTATATATTATTAGATATGTAAAATACTTTCCTTGAAATTACTGCAGCTTATACATAGATACCTATGTTTAAATACATGTATACGTATATATTCACTGTGGCAAATATTTATCTTAATATATAGTCAACTACATAATGAAATTTGATGAGTGAGTAACAGATAAGACGAATGATTGTGACTTTGTAATTTGTGATGGCCTATGTAATAATAATAAGGAGGTCACTATGTACGTACTTACATTAGTTCTTATTTATAATTAATTAAATTTTCGATTTTTACGTAATCCTTAAATGGCATTGTCGCAGTTTTTTAATCTAAACCATGTGTAAAAAGTACGCATATTTTTCGAGTGCCTTCAATGTCATGTAAACTAATTGCACTTTATGATATTATATGTATAAGATAACGTTACAATGAACAAATAATAATAATGAATGCTGATAGCGAAACCGAAAGCATATACGTAGTTATACATAATACTGATTTTGTAACTGATTTTAGATTCACACTATTTGTATTAAAAATATTTAAATTATTAATAACTGATTATATAGTTGACTATAGCAATGATAATAGTGATAGATATCTTGTAACTATATAAAATTATAGTGTGGGATAGAAATGCATGATCGATACGATTTCAAGACACTGGCTTTACATATGATCTATTGATTTTACACTATTATCAATAACAAATTAAACTAATCTTTAATAGCCGAATTTCTTTAATTTTTATTGTAAATCAATTTACAATAGATTTTTTTCTTTGAAAACTTACTCAATCGTTGATTAAAAAAAAGAGTAATGGTTGATCGGAAAAAAGCATATTGTATATCTTAATCGAACCAGAAAGAAAAACTGTAATAATAGATAACATAAATAATGTATCTTATGCAATTCTGGGTTAAAGGAGGGGGGAAAGAGGGCAGCTGTCCCGAGCGGCAATTTTTTGACGATGTCAACAAATGTTTTGAAATTTTCTAATGTATATACCAGTTTTTAGGAAAAATTATTAATTTATTATTGAAAAATACGAGTATTAATAACAATTATATAATATTATAATATTATAATATAATATATATATTATAATTATAATAGTTATTTTATATTATATTAAACCACTGAGTTATTTCGTCTGTGGGCGTTTAGCATATTAAGGGTAAAACCATATTATTATTATTTAGCGCTTGGACTTATGCATTTTTATTTTCGTTACACTTACATAAAATTGTGTTTATTGTATTTCTTATATATCTCTGTGTGTTATAATTTATAGCCATCAGATTATTAAATATGATATTAATAGTTTCAAATAATTTATTCACACACTCCCAAGCAATTGTTTTTGTTATCTCTCTCTCTCTCTCTCTCTCTCTCTCTCTCGTCTCGTGGTCATAGTTGTCGTCGTTGTCGAGTTCGATTCACGAATCACGATTGACTGGAAAACAAACGTGCCTAATATTTTATTTTCAATCAATATGAGTGGATAGCGCATACAAATGCATGTATTGAAATAAATTAGTTGTTTGGGTTTTTTTTTAATGTAGAACGAATTGACTAATAATTTTACGATAAAAATCAAAGCCATTAGTAAATATTTATAGTGTTTATAGCCGGAACTTGAGAATGAGATTATATAATTTAAAACAATAATGAAGTATTTTTCAGAAGATGAAAAATTATATATGCACAGTTTTCTTGAATTATTAACAGTATCAAAGTTAAACGATTCATTTCCTATTGTGGAAATAGCTTTAAAACTTGTTATACGTATTTATACCATGTTCAAATGCTGGCGAAGAAAGATCCCGCTGCAACTCGTTTGCGCACATTCAAAATTTTTTACCTAAAAATCGACGACTCGTTTGCGCACGACGAAATCAGTCGTTTACCTGAAAATAGATAACTCGTTTGCGCACAACGACATATTCACACACATAACACGTGTAAACATATTTCGTCACAGACTGCAGTACAAATTATCAAATATATTATCTTAATATTATCTTATAATCGACCGTGTAGACTGTATATTATATAAATTTGAATTTTCTAAAAAACTTTTAGTAAAGTTTCAGTAGGTATGGACTATGGATATAGACGGTACAGTGGTGACTAGTGTGTTGACGACGTAAACTTTAATATGGACGTAGAAATTTCTAATATTTTTGAATCTCGGTGAGGAAAACGATGTTTTAATATTGATGATTATAAATTTAGTGAATACCATGTTTTAATGAGTAGATTTTCAAATTTTAGATGCACTAATAAAAAATGTCCTGTGAATGTTATTGTTAGTACGAGTAAATCAAACAAAATAATAAAAGTAACCAACTATCATAATCACAAGTATAATAATTGATGATAATAAGGAAACGAGTTCTGATACTAAGGATTTTCGTCGCAGGTAGCCAAAATATATGTGCGCAATTGAGTTGTGCACTTTTGCGCAAACGAGTTGTATAAAAGATAAATGTGTGCAAATGATTTGTAGCCGAAAGATCCTTCTCAGTTTTAAAAAGAGTCAAGAATTACCAGTAAACAAATTATCTAATGAAAATATGTCATAGTTGTCTCTAATATCTATTGTAAATATTTCCCTAAAAAGTATAGGTTGAAATGATATTATTAAAGAGTTTGCTGCACAAAAAGCTAAAAAATAGTTGTAAATGTTTTATATTGAATAAATTTGTATTAAAACGTTTATATTTAGTACCTACTAAGGTCTATAAATTTAAAAACCACCGGTGTTACAGTATGTTTATAAATATAAATTAATTAAACAATATTAACTATGTTGTTGTTGTATACATGGGTACATACATATATACAAATATATATATATATATATATATATATTGGTTTGTGGAGGGGGTTGAAGGGCGGAATTTTAAAATCTGCCCCCACGCGGAAAATTTGTTAACCCAACACTGGTTTTATGTGTTAAATAAATAAAGGATCGTATGAACCCATCTACTGATTGATCAAATGTTTAGCGATTATTCATGCTACACGACATTAGACGAATGTATTGTATAGTACAATAATTAGAATAAAAAATGAAGCTATAACCAAACATCCAATCTTTTCCACGATTCTCATCATAGACCTATGTATTAAATAAATGTTATAAAATCATTGATGTGCCCAGTTATGTGATTATACGAGTATCATCTTTATGACGGTCGATGAAATAATTAATCCTACGCAATACATATATGTATCACTCAAATATTTTGCGAACAAAAAGAAGTCTCCGTCACATAAATTATAACGTTTTCTTTTTGAGAAGCATATAGAAAATATTTAAAAATGAATAAATAATGAGTAGTAATTTTAAATTCCATGTTTTTTTTTTTTTTTTTATAGCAAATTTCAAAAATTGGTGGTCACTTCAATGTCAGCTTCATAACTCAATGTTAAAAATGAATCAATGAAAACTTACATAATGTATCTATAATCTACTTTGATGGATACAAATTGTGAGAAACAGTTGATTTATATAATTTTTCTTCAAATTGAAAGTAAAATTTGATGATCAACAAATTGTATATTTTCAATTTTTATAACTTGAACATTTCCTATACTCATTAGTAATTATTTATAATTTGTAGACATTTAATCTTGAATTGACAAATGTATGCGTTTATAATTGTGTTATTTTATTAGATAAACAATAAAAAAATTAAATATTATTAACAAATATGTTTATCATATAGTTTTAAGTGCACTTATATACAGGGTGATTAGAAATTCTTGTTGCTAACGTATCTATGATTGTATAAGAACCGTTTGAGATTTCTATTTGTTCGTAACGAAGATTCACGATCGCTCTGTAGATATCTATACAAATTATACACATTACACACATTTTTTTTATAGATATATATAACATATATTATGTATATAATACATATCATACATAATATAGGTATGTATAAGTAAAGAATAGTTTTGTCATTTCATTTTTTTTCTTTTCATACGACTTACTATTTTATGTTTAAGCTGAAAACGTGTAAAACATTTGATAGTATGAAACATTGATAATGACAGAGTTTAATCGTTATAATATTAGCTGTAATTGTTATCGTCATTTTTTAATTAATTTTCAATACATTTTTTAAAATCTACATTATGACATATTATTTTTATAGATAAGAAGAAACTAGACGCAATCTTCTTGCGAGTGCAAGTTGATTCTATGACCTCTAAACCCGTTTACTTGGTACTGATTTAAATTTGGTTGTAAGCTTTATCATCTTAAACTATATGTATGTATTTATTTTTTTATGAAACAAAAAAAACATTGTACTATTTACGAAACTTAGAAGCAAATTTAAGTATTATCAACATACTTTGTATAATTTTTAAAATTAATTAATTTTTTTTTTAATTTATACAATATTTTTTTATTTGTTTTTATTTTTATTTGAACTAGGAAAATATAAATTTATAAATATTTAATTACAAAAATATATGTACAATCACATATTTAAATATATGTTACTATTTAAGTTGTATTATGTCGTATCGTACTTAAATTTATCTAAAAACATAATTTAAAACTAATTATTACAATATGCCAAAAACCAACTATTATATCTTATTTTAAAATTCATGCATAGATTACAGTTAAAAATATTAGACCAACATTTGGCATAAAATCATAATGTTGTTAGCATAATATTTTATAGAACTTGAATATTTTGTATAAACATAACTACTACCGTGTCTATATTTTATGATACTTCGTACATATAATAACTCAACATCTTAAATTGCTTCAAACAATATAATACCTAATATTCATTATGTTAACATAAACAAAATTATTTGTTTACTTTACTCGATAAAACTATTTTACAACCAATACAATAATCTTTCTTTCAAAGAAAATCATTAAAATTTATAACATTCATAACTTTTTTTTTATGCTTTTATTTAATAATTTGAATATTTTTACTCTTATTTTAAATTATTTAAGATAAACAAAATTAATTTTGTTTATTTGTTGTGTTAACCATTTCAATTTGAAAAGTATTTCTTTAAAAATTACAAGTGGAAAACAATTTTTAATGAAACATATGCTCTTGATATTACGTGAACTTTTTTACTGAAATATTATTGTTTATATTATTATTTGTTGTTTATTTTAGCTAGGATAAAAATAGCTTAGTAATATAATATAAAAAATAATTTACTCATGAATCAGACATTTGTACGCAGTCTTCGTATTTACATATCAAACTCATAATTACAAGTTATAACCGTAACACTATTTTAACATAGTGTTTTCCGTTTACAATTTTAACTTATGAATTTAATTTTTACTTAATATTTTATTTTTTAACCATATTATACAACCAAACATTATAATTATCCATTATCGTACTAACCAATTCTAATACAGCAAATGTTGAAATGATGAAATACGACACAAATTATAAATGTAATATGTAATAACACTTAAACATTAATAATATAAATATCTATAATATAGTATTAGCTACTAGCTAGACATAATTAATAATTAATACATTGCAATAATTTTTACTAATTATATTATAATATTGTATTTAGTATTGCATTGGTAATTTGTCAGATGATATAATTTATAATAATTAATAATATAACTACTAGATAAATTGTTTCTGTGTACAGTAAAAAAACTAACTGAAATAACTCACAAATGACTAAATGAGTATTAATTTCGAACATGTAGTTTGACGTTTTGTTATAATGTTTAATTCAATAACGACATAATGCATATTATTATACGTTTATATGTCAATATAGAGTCGGAAAGGTACTAACCATGGTTATTGGTTATACATGCATACATTGGGTAATAATATACAAATACAATCCACCGTATTTATTTATTATTCGTCATTATACAAGTGTTTCGCATTTCACTGCCCGGACGTTTTTACCGTAAAACCCCATGTAATAAATATTATAATTTGTTATCAGACCGATCATCGGCGAAAAACATTGAAATGTCCGCGTTTATACATCTATGTATACGGTGCAAGTAATATAATTTGGCAATTCCATACTGCTGGTTTAAGATATCTGCTTCTGGATTACTATTTAAACGGATGGACATCAACTTGTTTGCCGAAACTCCGGAATAGTATATTATCAACACTTTTTTGGCCCATCATGAAGTTCGAAAGAGTTTCCTGTGGAAAGGCATCGGCACATAATAAGATCAATGATTTCAAAACACGTCGAAATCGTTACATCGCGGCAATCGTCATATAGCCATCAGCATCCACGTATTATATTGCTTTGCTGCAGGAAGTATAACATTAAAGTATATTTCTACCTTTATAGATTCGAACTACAAAAATGAATTTAAACACTGCACATACAATAATATATAATGGTATATAATGGTGGGTATAAAGTATAATATCTACACGAAAGTAATAATAATATGAAAAAATATTAAAGATTATTGCCCAAAGTCGCGTACTCTTATCGAGTGAATCATCGGAAAATATGTTTACAATTGATACATTTGCATATCGAATGTACTGCAATACACCTATATGGCTGTATATCACACACCTGTGGGATATGCCGGGGGAAAGACCAGGAGTCAACGATACAAACATACATATATTATTATGCCCTATCTAAAAACATATTATTCATTGTTTTTTTTTCTAATATTTTTTTTTTTTTGCCAATGGCAGTTTAAATTTTTTAACCGCAGAATTATTAATGAAAATACAACAGTATAACACATCGATGGCGTACAGTGATCGTTACTTTTGATTATTGTTTTACAAATAGGTTCGACGATTTTGGTATACGCGATCGAATGTTTTCGAATAAATTGTTTATGAAAAAACATAAATAATTACATTATTTATTATTACTTCATGTGGCCGCCGAGCGTGTGTTATTTTTTATTATTATTATTATTATTATTATTACACAAATGCATCAACGGCACATTTGTCAACAGCGTCTGTCTTTTATCGCATATTGAAAAATTGAAAAATATTAAACAATAACAATTATTCCGTATGTATATAGGGGGACACGGCCACTGTGTAAATCGTTATCGTGTATAGATTAAATAACGATTTATTACGTTGGCCGTATGTTAGCAAAAAAAATATACATGTATAGGTACGAGTTTATATTTACAGAACGTAATAGTAACAATAAAATAAAATACCACGTCTAACGACTAAATTGGATATATATTGCACTCGGTTTGTTATGAATTATTGTTACCATATTTATGGAAATTCATGTGGTATTAATAAAAAGCTACAGTATTAATTGCAATTCTTATATATTTCTTCACAGCTCAGTAATTACATATATAAATAAAAAATATTAACTTATGACTTAAAAGAAAATGTGGAGTATTTTTTGAATTCACGCATAATTTATTTTGTTTTTCAGAATCATCGATCTTTACCAGTTGTTGACCAATCGGACAGCATCTTGGAGATTGCTGCTCGGTATCGGTACGTTTCGATATTATATTTATGAACGAATAGGAAGGAAACGATATTCATTTTAAAAATAAGATCCCACCTCAACCTTAGGGTCCTAGTTATTTGCTTCTGCACACATACAAACACTGAGCATTTCTTACAATTTAAAGACGAGATCGCACAAACCGATGTGTTTAATCCGCTTTAGCGATGTGTATTTTAGCGACCTAAAACGCTCAATATATTGTTTGTTTTTACTAAATATTAGTGTTGGATTATGCAGCATAAACAATAAACAGTAACAGTTTTGAAATAAAACTTAACGTAATCATATCTTATCTGTATAGGGTGGTGTAAACTTGACAACTGATTGATGACAACCCAAACCTTTTATTGTGCAATATTTATAGAATTTTAATGAAATCATACCATTTATTTCACCACCTAGCATTTAGTACTTACACGCATGTACAAAAGCCTGGGGGAAAAATAAGTGATCGGGTTTGAACATTGTAATTGTATATGTTCATTACAACATGCAATATGAACGACTACAAGAGTATTAATATTTACTTCAAGAGTAATATTTAATCATTAGAAAAAAAATATAAATATTTATCAAGAAAATGTTTCAATAAACATTGAATCAATTATATTATAAAGCTAAATATTAATTATTTATAAAATAATAAAATATTAAATAAAAATTAAAAATTAGTAAATGGTTAATAATAATAATGGTAAATACTCGTAAATTAATAAATAAATAAATAAACAAATAGTTTATATTTAGAAATAAATGAATACATTTTAGCCTGGAATATTATTATATTTGTAAAGTACGACTGGTTTCAAATTAAAAATTCATTATCGGGTGAAAAGTCAATAAAATCATGACTAAGGATAAGCATTTATTTATTTCTATGTTAAATATTCGTTTAACTTTTATTAAAAATTGTATTTAAAAAAAATTGTTACGGGCCATATTCAATACCTTTGCGGGTCGGGCACATCTGATCTATCATCATTGTTATTAGAGGTCAATAATAGAAAATTGGAAACAATGGATAAATATGGTTATAAGTCCAGTGTGATTTCTTAATATCGACGGTTAGGGTTATTATAATAAATAGGATTTAATTTGCACTAAAAAGCTATACTAAGCGAAATGTTTTCGTGATAAATAATAACATTTTACTAGAATGGCCAATTGAAATTATATTTCTCGGAAACGGACGGCTGTTCTCTGTTCACTGCTATATTGTTAACAGGTACTATAAATTTCGCATATCAAATATTCGTTACTCGAACAAATTCGTACTTCGAACTTATAAAGATAGTAAATTTATCATAGCTCATGAATAAATGTTCCACAATGTTTAAGAACACGTTTAGTTTATACGTTTTGATAATTCGAACGAACGCGTCGGTACATAATATTATGTGATTATTATATAACACGAATCGTCGCCGACCGTACACCGATCGTAAGGGGGTAGGGCAGAGCCAAATTAAACATTTGTGAGCCCCTAGGCAATTAAAATGTTGGGCCCTACAGTATAATTTTTTATATACATTTTTAACATTACTATCCAATAATTAAAATAAACAGTTTTAGTAATAACCAACTATTATTTATAAACAAAATCGTATTTATTGAATTTTTTTATTTGCAAAAAAAATCAATTATTATATTATTTCTATTTTTTTCAAAATAATTGTATTATTATTATTGCCTATAACGCTTACAACTTAATATATATATTATATTTAATAATGAATTTTGTCCCGTAAATTCGTAAATAAAATACATGTATTATTAAATAAAAAAATAAATATTTTCCCGTTTTCACAGGGCCCCTTAAATGAGTGAGGTCTTAAGGGGGGCGCCTACTCCGCCTAATGGGTAATCCGGCTCTGGGGTAGGGGATAGGAGGAAATAATATATTAATAAATATAACGTGTGACATATATCCTATGCAACTATCGTATACAGACTAGCTGACCCTATGCGATTGCAGATGAACCGCGGTAGCCGACCCGGTCCACCAGAAGAGTCGAACTGTACAACAGCTTCCGTTAACATGAAGAACGAAGAGACGTTGCAGAGCCACCAGCAGCGCAACATGTTAGCCGAGGCGATAGCGTCGCTACCGCCCGTGCCACAGAACCTGTCGGCGATCGCCCTCTTCCATCAGCTGCCCATATTGTACCAGCAGCACTACCAGCACATGTTGCAATCCCGGATCCTGCCGTACCTGCAGGAATCGTTGAGATTGCAGAGTACCGCAAACATTATCGACAAGCCGCAGCTGTCAACGGTAAGCGCGACATCCGATGGACGACTCATTGTGGTCCATTCTCTACGGATTTTTGACTCGTTTCAACCGTCCCTATATCACCTATGTCTATATAAGTAAAAACAAAGTAGTCCTAGAAAACGTTATCTGTAAAAAATAATAAAATCGCAACTTTTTGCAACATTTGTAAAAGTTGCGATTTTATTTTTTCATATCCAGTTGCAATTTTATTAAATTTGTACATACCTGATGATGAAGTTTAAATTCGAAATAGGCCATGCTTTACAAATATAATAACACTCCAAGCTAAGCTTTTATTTATTTATTTATTTATATGTATGTAAACTATTTGTTTATTTATTTAAAATGTAACAGTTATTTTAAACATAATTATTCTCTAACCCCCCCCCCCAAAAAATCATTTGTTGTCTATGACCTTGACTACGTTGTTGATGACGGTTCCACTGCACAATCGAATATTTTGGCGACTGCTTATGTCCCGAGAAAATAAATTTTATCGCAGTATGAATTTTAATCTTATTATCATCCTATGAACGTTCCAAAATAAAATTCCATTCGCGTTACATGGTTACATTCAAACATCAAAACATGTTACAAATAACATTCAATACATGTTAGCAAATGACAAAAATTCATTTAAAATAAACTTTAATTATTTTTTAAATACTTCTTTTTATTTCGAGCTATTTATTTATTTTTTTTTTTTGTAATTAATTAGATTAAACCATTAATTTTATAAAATTAAAAGTTTTACCTTATACATAAGAAAATAAAAAGTATACATTAATTACATCAAGTACCACATTATTGTTATTATATTTTAATATACACTCTTCTTATATTGTGAATTTCTGTCATCTGTCCTCTAACAATACTAACATAAATACTGAATAAGTATAAAAAAAAAGCATTATAAAGGAAATATTAAAAAAAAAACAAAAAACAAATATGAACTGAATGATATTTTGTATCTTGTGGTATATCGGACTCAATCAGCTAAAACTGTTACGAATAAAGCATCATTATTGTAATGCTTTGGCTATTTTTTATACATCCTGTTTGGAAGAAGTTAGAAAAAAATATTATTATGTGAAAATTATGCTAGTAATATTTAAATTTATATTTACTTTTTGGTACAAAAAAAATTATAGAACCACACAATTTAATAAAAACACCTATTCTTCATATCACGGTCTAAGACCAATGTATAGCAAATTATTATTAAAAATTTTAGCGGTTATCGAATTATATTTAACATACCATTTTATCGACAAAAATCGAGCAACTCTCTTAATGGTTTTGAATTCGAAATAAATAATTTTTTGCCACGAATTAAATTTAACGAATACATTTATATCATCAAACAACATACAGTCGTAAACTGGGGTGGCAAGGGGGGATTTTCCCTCCTAGAATAAATTAGTAGGACCAGTGCCCCCTCTGATATTTAACATACCTTGTTTTAAAATAAGTACAGAACAGCTGGTTATAGTTATTACTGTACAGTTTTCTTTTTTAAATCTTAATTTTCAATTTTAGCTTATCTAACATAATGAATAATATTATATGTATAATATATTATATGTAGGTAGTAATGCGGCGTTTATGTTTAGAAGTTATAAAATATTAAAAATGTCTATGCATTGTCTATATAGTAATAATGACGAGCACCTAATACTAATATATAACAAAAGGTAATGTTAACATATATTTACAAGTAAGTAATGTAAGGTTAACTATGTAGACTAATTGATGTGTAACTATATATTTGCACCCCCCCCCCTAATAAATGTTCAAGTTCCGCCCACGAAACGACATTTTATACCGGTAAAAATAATCGGATAAAATTTGCTAATGCGCGTGTATTATACACTGCAGATGCCGACGGTTAGTCCGTTCGACCAGCCGTCTTCGGAACAGAACGCCGTGTCGGCCGCAGCGGTGGCGGCCGCGGACATGGCGGCCGCCGGATGCAACGAGAAGCCGCCGTACTCGTACATAGCGCTGATCGCCATGGCCATCACGTCCACGCCCAACCAGCGGATGACGCTCAGCGAGATATACAATTACATCACAGAAAAGTTCCCGTACTACCGTCGGAACAGACAGGGCTGGCAGAACTCCATCCGGCACAACTTGAGCCTGAACGACTGTTTCATCAAGATACCCAGGGGTCGGACCGGCATGGATGACAACATGGGCGGTGGCAAGGGTAGCTACTGGACGCTGGACCCGGTGGCCGCGGCTGACATGTTCGAACGGGGCAACTACAGACGGAGACGGATGCGTCGGCATAGACCGTACCAGCAGCACAACCACCATCATCAGACGGTAAGACGGACAATTCATTAAACTCATGTTCACTGCGTGACCGGCGATTTTGGATCGTCGTCAGGGGTAGGTCTCCTTGGGGCTACGATCAAGGGCGCTTTGTAAGGAATAAAGGCGAAAAGTACACTTAGGGCTAACTTCACCCTTAAGTTGTGTTTTGACTGTTGATACGCATCCGCATTACGCGCATCATTCACTCTTACCAATCTCAAGTACGTCCAATAATCTCTTCGGTTTACTCCGTTTTTCTCAAAAACCGTCCGAATCGTATAGACTTATTCGCTATCATTATTTATCAGCAGCTAATGTTACTGCTAAAAATCTTATAAAGCACTTTTTACACTATATACATGAAGATCTAATATTTTGTTTTCCACGGTTTATCTGAATTTCGAATTATATCTTTACGTAAATGAACTAGTTATTTTTTTTCGACGCCACTAAAATCAGGATTTTGATAGCTGCACTTCCTCCTCGTATACATGATAATTTAATAAATAATAACTTTGTATTTTTCTCTGATGAGAGTAGACCCAACCAGACATTAAGTCGCTACTACAGCAACCACAGGTACCTCACCACCATCATCACCATCATTTTGCGGTGTACCCCGAGTTCCAATTGTCCACCAGAAATGCGATAGCCGCCGAATCATTGACAGATAAACAGCACGCGGTCGCAGACACGGTGTCCTCGCACAACTTGGCGTTCCACATCGAAAACCTGATACAGAAAAAGCACCATGTAGGCGAGCTCTCCCAAGAAGAGATTGTATCCTCCAGTAGCGTGCATAACAACAACGACTCGTCGCATCCGGGCGACGAACAGCTGATAGTCGAGTCTAAGCCCAAATTGATCATCATCAACGACGAAGACGACAGCAACAACAGCGGTGGCAGCAGACATTAGAAATCCTATAACAGTGCATGTATAAATTATAATTTTGTAATTACAATATAATAATAATAATAATAATAATAATAATAATTAAGTAGGTACACGGGTACATGCACTTGGCCGAATGTACAACATGTGACGTCATGTGCAATGAAACTGTATAGTACTCTACGAGTTCTCAATACGTATGTGTGCGTGAGTGTGGACGACGTGTGTTTATCTTTGGTCGAGAAAAACGATATCGCACCAGCTAGTATTAATTTCGTAATAAAAATATATATAATGTTATTGTTATTATTATTATTATAAATATGCTGTGAATCGTTTATGGTTTTATTTCTCTTTGTACAAAATTTTTATCGAGCTGTGTATTATGATGTTGACGAAACATGAACTCAGAACTGTAATACGTTACATTATTATATTATACTATTTGATTGTATACCTATTTGTGTCCACGTGTATGTATTATAACTCGTGTAATTAACGTCGATTTAATACACACACGCATTTATAAATGTTTAATTGATGCCAACGTCGATGTAACATTATATATTTCTTTGACAACCACCTATCGACTTACTTCGAAATAATAATAATAATAATAATAAGATAAATAGGCAATATGCGTATAATATATTCTACAATGTTATACTTTTGGATTCCACCTGGTCGCGGATTCCGATCTCGTCATTTGAATATACGAGTACCATGTATAAGCCACTAGTTAGTGGTGTAGGTACATCAAATAAGTATTCTGTGTTAAAAATAATTTGAGAATTTTTTAAAAAACTTTCGTCGTGTACATAATTTGCACTCATTTCTATGTCCATAAGTAACACTCATTACTCATATTCTTTATCGGATGTCAGTTGTTTTTCAATCGAAAAATCATTGATTTCGTTTATTATATCAACCTAAACAGTATATAATTACATACATGTGTATGTAATATTATATAGGTAGATACAAAATGTTTTTTTTTTTTTTGATTTCACAAATGTATCTTGCGTACTAAATAATTATAATTTATAGCATATTATAATACACTAATATTATATTAGTCATTACGTGAAACCAGACTATTTTTTATTTTATTTTAACACGTGTTTCTACTAAAAATTAACATACCTAAATCACAATCCAAAAACATACGTCTAAACTTTGGAAAACGTGTTTAAATTAAAATCATGTTTATATTACAGTAGTTCTTAAATATTATATACCTTATACCTAAGTCTAGTCAGAAACATTGTTTTATAATTGTATTATTATGATCATGATTTATGTGATATTAAATATATTTTTATAAAATGATCCATAGTTAAAAAAAAAAAAATATGTCTTTTAAAACATATTGTTCAGCATGAGCATCGAATTATGAATAGTCTATAAATTTTCATTTAAATAATAAATCATAAATAGGTACTAGCTTGTATAATAAACAGAAAACACATTTTATTGTAGGTAGGAATAAAAAAAAAATTATTTATCAATAAAATTGTAAATTAGTGTAATATTTTTAATTACATTAATATTTTAAAATAAAATATCATGGTGACAAATGGAAGAAAATGTTTTAATTTAATGAAAAGAAATATCAAAAATCGATATTTAAAGGGAACCTAACCAGTTTATTCGATAACTCAGCAGCGTTAATTTTTTAGTTTATGATAGCCAAAATGTATGTCCTGACATAAGCGATTCTAGTTAATCTTGGATAATCATTAATAATATTCAACTTCATACCAAATTATTGCTGATACCAATTCAAAATACTCTTGGATTATCTTTCACTCTGAAATATCCATATCTTGATGAGTTAGGAAACAAGTAAACTTAAAAAAGTATTTACCTCTGGCTTAATTTTAAGTACAGTCAACTCTCGATTATTCAAACCTTCAATAATTTGAAACTTCAGTTATTCAAAGTAAATGCATGGTTCCTTGAAAATCATGAGGTAATTCAAATAAAAATAATGCATTTAAGTACATTAGATAAATCGAAATTAAATTTTGGGAAACTTGCAACTAACACGTGACAATTCAAAGTATCATACGTTAAACACTCTGCAATTCGAAGTATATTCAGCAAATTTATTCTATCGATATTCTTATAATTTTTTTGTTAAAAAATTACTATACAATCGTGTAGAAATTTAACATAATATTTTCAATAACTATAGAATTAATATTGTAAGAACCTTATCGTATTATTTCTTAATTGTCACTAATCGTAATATATCTTTTCGATGGCCATCAGTCAAATGTAGTTTTATTTTAGTTTCGTTTGGTCTATTATAAAATTCTTGTATTGAATCTAATTCAAAAAATACTATTGAAAAAATTAAACTAAATTCATTGAAGCAGAAAACCATTACAGATTTCTTCAAAAAATAATAATTTTATTTAGTTAGTATAATTATATAATTTAATATATAATATTATAGTATATAATTTACATTTTAAAAATAATAAATAACTAATACCACCTAATTTGCTGAAATAAATAATAATTATGAACAAAATTTTTTTCTAAACTCAGTAATTCAATTTTTTTTTTTTTTTTGCTCACTCGTTGCTTCAAACTACTCACAATTAAAATTCTCGGTAATATAACATTTTTCAACAGTCCCGTCAACTTTGAATTATCAAGACTCGACTGTATCTACTATAATAACCTACCATAATAGCTATTCAAAGTATATTTTTTTGTTTAATATAACACTACAAAACGAGACATTTTGGAGAAATAATAGAAAACCATTTTAATTAGTACAATAACTGTTAAAATATATCATTCATAGAAAGCAATTTATTTATGTTATGGTAATAAATTAAATTAAATTACATTTTATATTTTAAAATCTATAAGTGGGTTATTTAGATTTCAATCAAAAATTTGAAATGATTCAAAAATAAATATTAACGAGTCATAAATTAATTTGATTATTTTCATATATACATTTAATTAACATGATATGCCAAAGATAAATGTAGTAAATAGTTTCCTCAGAACAATGCATAAATTAAAAATCTACAATGGTTTTGAATTATAATTTATGAGATAAGGTTTATTAAATGATGTAAATAAATAAATAGCAAAAATTGACGTTGATCTTTTTATTTAAGATTCTTTTTGTTTTTTCTTTTTTTTTAATTGACATTGATAGAACAAATTATCAATAATCAAATCTAAAATCTTTGTAACTTGGATCAAATGATTGTACCCTAATGAAACCATCCTCTCCGCCAGTACTGAAACTTTCACCATCTGGATGGAATGCCAAAGAATTAATAGGACCAAAATGACCTTTAACTCTTGCAAATTCTTCTTCAAAAATAACATGGAAGAATCTGGCATCGAACTTTCCTGCTTGTGCTGCTGTTGTTGTTACATCCATGGCTTCTTGACCACCACCCAATACCACCTTAAAAAAACATTATTTTTTAATTTTATATCACAACAGCAATTATAGTCATATAGAAATATATAATGAACTTACATGATCATATATTGGAGAAAGTGAAGCACTATTGACAGGACGTTCAGTTACATAAACTTTGTGCACTGATAAATCATCAACATCAAACAACTTAGCTGTATTGTCCTTTGATGCCGTTACAAACATAGTACCTTGTCGGTTCTTTTGCATATCATTAATTGATCCTTGGTGGTCTTTAACAGATTCTATACTTTTTCCTGTCTACAATATTAATTATTATTCAATATACATATAGACTAAGGATGACAATAAATTTATTATTAATAAACTTTCAACTACGTACTCTCAAATCCCATTGAGTAATGGCACCATCTTCATGACCAGTAATAATAGTGTGATCCAATGTACCCCAAATTAAAGAAGTTACTTTGGAATCTGGTACAGCCATTTTTAAAATAGGAGCACTGCTTTCTGTAATAAAATAAAATGAAAAATACAAAATAGAAATATATAACAAAGGCATTTTTATTTTAACTTATAAATTGTGTGTATCAGATAAAAATTACTTCTGAAAAAGCTAATCAACTATTAAAATACTCAAAAGAAAATATATCAAATGCGTGTTAATAGGTTACAATGGTCAAAAAGTAACTTTTAACTTTCAAAACTAAATGATTATACACATTTTGTTATTTTTCAGCATCAATATTTATAATATCTAGTAAGATATAAATGAATTACAATACATCAATATTTTTAATAATATTGACAATTTTATAGATCATAAAAAATGTACGATGTAGTCAGTGGCGTATTTACAGGGGTGGGCGGTCCAAAAGGACTGGATCCTTCCCAGAACCTCTCTAAAAAATAAAAAAATAACAAAAATGCTTACATATTTGCAGAATTGGCTAAACATTCACAGGGAAGTTAAAATTACTGTTGATGAAGTGACAGAGGAGTTGGCCAAAAAATCAAAATAACTGGAATTTATTTTATAACAATACTTTATAATATATAATGCTAAATACAATATATAGGTACATTAATATAATATTACATAAGACTATAAGATTATTACATTATATATTTAGTTCAACTTCCTCCAAAAACTGCATAAGGACGTAACTATTACAATATAATATATAGTTTATATTAATTATGTATAAACTGTGGACCCCCTCAGAAAAAATTGAAAATACGCCACTGGATATAGTGAATGTGTTAATTTATGTGATCATTAACTAGTTGATAAAAATTGATTGGAACAGAAAAAAAATTATACTATAGAAATCAATATTCAAAATAATATTGAATAGAATATATTTTATACAAAAGTTTTAAACAAATTATTATTTTAAAATTAATAATAAATTACATTCAACACCATAATAATTAAAACATTGCTTACTAAAAGATTCATCGTCACGAGCATCAACAACAAAAATTTCACACTCTTGTTTCATGGCTTGATCTGTTGAATAGCTGGCAAGATCAGCCGAGTAACTAAATGAACATGTACGTACAGCTGAGTTACTACTAATATTACCAATCTCCACTCCTAAAAATGTTGAAGTAATTGATTAACAAACAATATCATTGTTGTTACATTGGAAATTAATAACATTACCAGTAGCTACATCCCAAAGTCTTAAAGTGTTGTCAGCAGCTCCAGACAAAAACTTTGTTGTTTTCCAATCGACATCAATACACCATACAGCTCCAGTGTGACCATTGTACGTACCAAGGCGCTCTCCATTTAATGAGTACCAAACGTTTGGAGTTACGTCCTTAGCGGATGAGAATAATAAATCACCTTCTCTGTTGTACTTAATTTGAGTGATGGCACGCTCGTGCCCTTGCAACATTAAAGGTTTCTGCAAAAACAAAAAAAACAAACGATTTAGAATATGATAATTATGTTACCAGTGGAAATTATTCAAAACCAATTAATGATCATTTACCATAGTGAGTTGTTGAAATTGTAATACTAATATTAAAAATAATAATAATTAAAAGCTTAGATACATTATTCTCTAAGGAAACCCAAAAGTAAAGGACCGGAGTATCACGTGATGCCGCGCGTCAGGCGTCTTCGTTGTCATAAAAGATAAGAAGTAATGATAAATTAATCAGTTTGACCAACATAAATTTGTATCACAACGGTTTGAAATCTGGTTTCCCTATCCAGTCGCGTCCTATGTCCATTGTTCCAAGATAAAATGAATGCCCCTATGATTGAATATTAGTCAAAAATAATAAACCAGAAATAAAAATGTTTGAATGTAGCACAACAGTGATGGCGATTGCCGATTAAATTTTTTTAGGATGATCCAATAATGAATGCCAATTTATTATATTACAATATAAAAAAATATTATTTGGAGAAAATAACTAAGAATAATAAGAGAATAACTATTTGGAGGACACTATTAAAAATCAATCTATATGGTTTATCCATTCAAATATACAACACACTAAATTTTTGGTTATAATTTTAAACAAATAATATGTACCCATATAGGTATAAAATTACGCCTTCTATAGTATCACAGATGAAAATCTTCGTGTATTACTTAAAAAAAAAATCATTGACATATTTATGTATATAACAGGAATTTTCAAGTCAGCCAATGTACGGATATGTGACTTCAGGTGGTCCTTTAATAACGCATTTATTGTTACATAACGCATTAATATACTTGTAGATGTATTCAGGGGGGTTTTTTAAGTTTAAAAAAAAAAAAATTATTAATTTATTTTAAATTATTACCTATAAATTACCTAAGTTTTACTATTGAAAAAATGTACTACCTAATAAAAATATTACCAAAGAAATCTAAAACAATCTAAATAAGTCAATTTATTGCGTTTAGGTTGCTATTACAGTCTAAAGACAAATAAATTCATAATTTTGGTATCTTTCAGGAGCTTGATATACCTAATATTAAAATGTCGACCAGCTAGCTGTAATGGAAGATGGTAAACTGCGGCAAAATTGATTTTTTTCTAAAATTCGATGTGTAAACTGCGGCAAAAAGAAAATTAAGATTATAATCTGCGATAAATCCTATAAGATACATTATACAAACTGCGGCAATTTATTATATATACCTTCTATATATACTATATATATATTTTTTGTTTGATGTTATTATTTACTGCTTGACGTTCAATTGTAGAATCCGATTCATGACTATGATCTAAAATTGATTTTTCTTGTAATAAAGTTTTTTCCGTGGGAAAACCAATTTTGCCTTGCATGTTTTTTTTTTTTAGTGCATTCCCATGTTTGATTATCATTTATTTCGGATTCATATTTAAATTTGAATTTAAAATTATTTAACACTGTTAATTCCTTGCCATTCTGGCTAAACATTGTTGTAAATTTCATGACGTTGAATAAATATTTAACTTTATTTCTACTAAGCTCTAACACTTGTAAGTAGGTAATAAGAAGTATTTTCAAAAGTAAAAAAACCTATATTACTAATATATTTCGTTAAAACTTAAAAATACATTTGGATTTATTTTACCACTCTGTACGCAAGACGCAACATTTCATAATTAATTAAACGATATACGTACATAGGTACACATAGGTAGCTATATATGATGTAGGTACTGTAATAAATAATATATATATAGAAAGTATGTATATAAAATAAATTGCCGCAGTTTATATAATGTATCTTATTGAATTTGTCGCAGATTGTATAATCCTAATTTTTTTTTTGCCGCAGTTTACATACAGCCTCCATAATTATATGACCTGCATAAACACACACTCAAAATGATAAATTATAACTTATGAGTCAATTTTTTAAATGATGTTTGGTTGCATGACTTATTTTAAATATCATCGGTTTAAATTTGTAAATATAAACTGACGAAATCAATATATTTCACACGCGTACTTATTACAGTCATCAGTCATCATCCATCAATAATTCAACATCAATATAAGCATTAAATGTGAAGTACTATAATCTCCACATAGGTATGTTAGTCATTCCCACTAAAGAAGTAAAAACTTATCTAAATGAGTCAAAGTTTTATTTACAAAATAAACAAAAAATAAACAAAAACCGCAATTACTTATTCAGTTATTCTTAAGCATGCTGCAGCAAAAATAGAAATGATTTAAAATTATTTAATATATAATTTTTAATGTGATGCATGATACATAAAAATTGAGCATCTATTTAATTAGATATATATTATACGTAATAATAAATATTCTTAAGCCTTATAAATGGATTCACTGACTACTGACAGAAAATTCGATATTTACATTAAAATTTAGCACTCAATTAAAAATTTAACTTTGAAAATAATTTTCTGATTGGGAATAATTTCATCAAACTTCATACTGTATATCAATTAATGATATACATTATCTATCATGGTTATTATATTAAGTATACTCGTATTAGACATAAAATGTTACACGATTGTATAATAGTGTGTAGGTGTAATGTGTGAAATAGGTTTTTATACATTATTAAATTATATTTTATTTCTAATTAATTAATTATACATGAAAACTTATATTACTCATACAATTTGTATATATTTCTCTAAAAAATGTATTCTATTAATTAAAATCTGATAGTTTTAATAATGATATAAATTATTAAATACTGGTAGGTACTTCTAAAATATTCAGTGCAATATGTATTCAATCACATGCATAGAATTTTAAGACTAATTATTAAATATTATAACATATAACATGATTGATATTTTGAAGGTGAACTAGTCCTACAAAAATCAGCTAAAAGGATTATTTATTCAAGTAATGCTTTTAACCGGAAATGTGTCATGAATTCCAAATACGACTTATTCCACATTTTAACAAGTATTTATACTCAGTATAATTAAGCTAATAAGTAACTAAATTATTTTTTAGTTGATATACCTACAAACAGAGTAGGTAAGACATTATCAAGATAAAATTTTGCCCAACTTTTTCTACAAGTTACAAGTGTTATAAATACTTAAATTGTTATTTAATATTTATAAACCAAATAAGTAGATAGATTATTAAATTTACATTGTTATTGTGAATCATTTTACAAATAATAAAATAATAAAATGTTTAAATATCTATATATATATATATATATATATATATATATATATATTAATACATAATTTATTTAATCTTTTATTTTCTAGGTACAATGGAAATTGTAATTGTAATTATAATGGATTTTTATGTAATTAGTAGGTCAGTAGCGTACCCAGAATTTTATTATTGTTGGTCAACCTATTTCAGAAGAGGCCATGTCGTGTAGCATCAACCATATTTACTATTCTATGTATTACAAATGTGTTCACTTCGCTCGCAAGTAACGATTCACTTTACTTGTACCTAATATAAATCACTTTTTGCAATAACAAATTTCGATTGTTTTACCAATAAAACTATAACTTAGATATAAAATTTGAACAATCTACTTGCATACAATTTTTTTTTTATCTAAACAATTAAGATCATTTGAATTGCGAGTAGAGCACATATGATTATCATTAAAATTATAAATATTTTACCAAGTTTTAATACTTGCCACAAATATATGTGTTTACTAGTTATTTTTAATACTTTCATGTCTATCACAGATTATATAGGTAATAGTTTTTAATCAAATACTCTAATACGAATATTAATTGGCAGTAAACACATGAAAGTAATTACGGCTTTCATGCGGGACGGTGGACGGATTTTTTCCGTACGGTCACTATGGTACAGCAGTGTCGGCGACTGAAAAGTACGGCACCGGATCATCGGCATCTTAAACGCAATTTAAAGTCAATCCACCAGTGCATTTTTTAACTAGTTAACTAGGCGACGCAAATGTCGCCCAGTGATTATACTCTGTCGACACTATTTTAAAAGATTGAGCGAAATAATGCAAAACAAACGTGTAATACTATAATCGTATTATGGTATTATACATGGACTATTTTGAGAAAAACATTTTTTGTCGCCCAGTGAAAATTCCTCATAAAATGCACTGCGATCCACACATATCGGTAAAGTGACATGACGTAAATGACCTTCAATGAAAAAAAAATATCGGTATGACGAATGTGCATGTAAACAAAAGGCATAGATAGACGGCGTGTGTTCAGACGTAGCCACTCAGTAAGCTCCGGCGTTCACAGTGCTATGTGGTATATGCGATAGAAAAAAATTTACATCGTCACCGATATTTTTTTTTTTCACTGACGTCAAAACACACATTTTGATTAGCCTATTTTGTGTTTATAAAGAATATTTACGTCCTGAATTCTGAACTTTTGATTGAGTTGGCACGCAAGAAACAGGTTCTTTAAGACTTGAAGGGAAGAGTATGGCAGGAAATTGGTGAGAAAATGAAGATGTTGCAAAATTTTCTCTCTGTGTTTTGAAACATCCATATAAAATAAACTCAGTGTCTTCTTTTTCTTTTTTTTTCCTCGTTCAAAAGCAATTACAGTAAAATCTTTTATACTTACTAAAATTCATAATATAATTCCGAATAAAACAACATACAAACTAAACCTAAGTCTTCTGGGGGAAATACATTTGGGCGCATTTACCCAAAACAGAACACTTTAGGGCGTAAACCTATAAAACTTTTGGACGTAATATTTTCCTTTATAATAGTACGCTTGGGCACATTTATTTCTTTACATATATTAATATATCGTAATAAATCTGAACTTATTAGCGTTACCTAGAAGACATCGTGAGGAGGTTGGCTCAATAATCTTCCAAAAATATTTTGAGATTTTTTTTATTTATACGTCCTAATTTAATTTTTGTTCATTATTTATTATTTATTATTTATTAATATTTATACTATATTGTGATCTTTTTATGTATCAGATTTTATGTAATTTATTATTTTTTTTCCTGCAAAACGTGGTCCTAATTTTTTTATGTAATTCAATATACTTTTTCAACTTTATAGGTTTTCCGACATTTTTTTACAAATGTTTATCTTTCTTCAGTTTCGTTTTTTAATTTATTAGTTATTTTTTTCATTGCTGTTCATTTTTAATTTGGTCTCCGTTTGAATTTCAATCGAT